TCAATATTTTGTCGACAACATAACTAAAATCCATTCTCCATTCCAGTGCTCCCAACTACCAGTGATGTGTATACATTCCATGTGATGTAAACTGACATGTGCAGACTTTATAATCTAGAAGAAAATGCCAAAAGCTGTCACTGGGGTGGTACCTTTTCAAAAGGTACGAATATACATAATTTAGGTACTAATATGTAACCTTAGGGGTAAATAAGGTACAAATGTGTACCTTTTGAAAGCGTACTGCACCAGTGAAAACTTTTTGTCATTTTTGTATTTAACTCCATTAACCTTGCAAATGTATAAATACAGTAATTAGTTCTTTGTCAAAAGTGCTTATTGGTGCAGCCCCTTACTTTCATCCAATCAGATCAGAGTTTGTCATGTTTGTATAAAATAAGCATAAGGTGGTCACTGAACAATCTGAGACTGTGCAACAGATAAACAGTTTTATACTATAGTTATATAACAGAAGAGAAATAGCCATTTGACTCATAAGACACTGAAGCTGCTCCATTAATGGCAGACAGATTCTGAAAAGATTTTGCCCAGTTTAGCAAGCGCCTCAAGCCACTGTGTGGCTGTTTAGCCACTGTGTGAAGCATGTTTAGAGGTTGGTTAGAAGTTGTGGTAGCAGGCCGGGTGTGGACTATAATCTTTGGCAGCAGCTCAAGCCTCTGGAAATAGACAAGATGGAGGGTTGTTGACTTTCTTGTGGAAGCTTCAGGGAGAGGGAGGGAGTATTTTGAGCGGAAGGCCACGGACCAGGGTCTGTCTCTTCCTTTGGATGAGGTGGAGGTTAGCCACATGTGCTCTGAAACGAACACATGGGAATCCTTAGGCGGTGGGAAAAAACAGGAACTGGGTGGAAAGGTGTTGTTTTGGGTATGGAGTGTAGTAATTCTCTATATTCTTTATCTTTCCTTTTGTCTCAGTTTGTCTCTTCCTGTTGTCTCTCCGATGTCGTGTCTGGGTTTTGTGTTCTCACACTCCTCGCTGTTGCACTATAAATGGTTTTCCATGCTTGAATCACAACATCAGCATGATCCTTCATTAAAGCTCCCATATACTCAATTTTGTGCTCTGGTCAAGTCGCATCACCTTTATTTATATAGCACTTCATACTTCCTTAACAAGCAGCTTTAGAATATTAAACATGAAAAAGTCACTTTCAATTAGAATTACAACTTCAATTTCTACTGTAAAGCAGCTTTCCAGTGCATCCACATATTTACTTGCATCTGACATCGAAGAACCAGAATGAACCATGAGAAGATGTTCACATCAAGTATGTACCTATTATGTACCTATAATGTAACCACCATGGCCCAAAGGTTAAAAGGTGTTTACCAGGCGAAGCAAAGTTTTCCGGAAAGTTTTCAAGCTGTTTCAAACTACCAAAATGAACGGCAAGCAAACTTTGTTCTTGGCATGAGTTTGTTTGAAATTACGTCACACCCATTCGTTCTTTTATTCCCGCACACGTCCTGGCTAGGATTTCTATATTGCCGAAAATATCCAGGTTTTGGCTTTATTACACTTGCTGAAAGTAGTGATCGAAAAGTAGCTTGACCAATAACTTGCAGGCATTGTACATAATTGACCAATCGTGGCGCATGAGAAGATGGGATCTACAGAGAACGGACAAAGTGATGCAAATACGCGTACATATTACATATTACCTGTACGTAATCACCATGGACCAGTGGTAGTTTGAAGTTGTTTACTAGCCACAGTGAACTTTTCTGTAAAGTCCGCTTGATCAAGCTGTTTGAACTCCAGAAACAAACTCTAAAAAAGGGGTGCAGATCCTGCAGATTTCAGCTCCAACCCCAAATTACTTGAACCAGATAAACAAGGTGTTCACAGGTACTTGATAATTACAGGCAGGTGTGTTGGAGCAGTGTTGGAACTGAGTTCTAGAGGATGGTAGCTCTCCAGGAGCAGGGTTGGAGATCCCTTCTCTCAAACTTTGGTGCAGGAGGGCCACTGTCCTACAGAGTTTAGCTCCAACCAGGTTCAACACACTAGCCTGGAAGTTTCTAGTAAGTCTTAAACACCTTGATTACTTGGGTTCAGGTGTGTTTAATTAGGGTTGTAGCTACACAGTGGCCCTCCAGGAACTGAATTTGACACCCCTGCTCTAAATGAACTTTGCTTTGAAGTTTATTTTGCGCAAAATTACATCATATCAGTTCGTTCTTCAGAAAATCCCACCAAACTCCACCATGACTTGGATGCGAGACCAATGTACTGTTCTGGTTGAATCTTGAACCTGGTTTGACTTATTAACAGGATTATTTACACATGAATGCCTTTTTTCAGAGTGCTATTTGTGCACTGATATCAGCAATGATTCCGAATATGTTCCGTAGTGGAAAATCCCAACTGACTTTCTCCAGCGCCGCTCGCACACAAACACTAACACAAGACGAGGGGCAAGAGTCAGGTTCGGTATGCTGGTTGTGATGGCTTCCAGCTCACCGAGTTGTATGACATGCGTTGAATGGCACATTATAAAGTATTCAGGAGATCTGCTTCACTGATAAGCCCCTATGCATTTGACTGACATTATCATGCCTACGTCCCACACTCCTTTGACCTGCGGTATGGGGCGGCAATATCTTTTTTCATCCTTGTTGTTCTGTCATCCATTATATGTAACACTGCACCTTTGTCATGCTATTGATTGTGCCCAGCTTTCTCATTTCAAACTTGCTCCAAGTTGGCTTGTTCAGGTAGCTAATCTTCTCATGCCAGGTAGTTGTTCGGTGCCAAGTGGGATTTCGTTCTCTACAATGATTGGCAGATGACGGCTGTAATGCAGAAGTGCTCAGGTATCACACCCGACTGGCTCTCAGGCTTATATCACAGCACGGTCACAGCTGTCAGCTCAAAATGAAAAGCAACCAAGCAAATCCACCACACCAGCTCTCTTGCTAATTAGCACAAATGGGTTCTGCACGACACTGCGTTGGAATCCCCCTGCAAGATCTTCATCAAAGCGCTGCTCCACTGCGTCTTCTGCTGCGCTACTGTACATGCCTGATGATTAAAAGGCGTTGGATGTAAATGATTTTTGTTGGTTTGTAACATCGCCATTTGGTTTTAAAAATGCACCAGGCCTTAAATGGATCACGGCATAGAGTTTTGATCATTTTATTTCTTTTGAGGGCCAGTGCTAATGTTTGTCAAGGTTTTATTGCATTAAAAATAGTGATAATGCAATATTACATGAGCCTAAGGATAAAACAACCTGTTTTTTGGTAATGTACCTATAAAGTCTCAAAGTAAACGTTGTCTTTGTATGTAAAATGAGATGCAAAGTTTAACACATGGGCTATGGGTTTTCTGTTGGATTCAGTCAAGTTTGTACACTGCAGAATTGTTTTTCTTAGTATTTTTGTCTTGTTTTCCATTACAAATATCTAAACATTATTGAATCAAGATACATTTACTTGATAAACAAAATGACTTAAGATATTAAGTCTTGTTTCCTGAAATATGTATTAAAATGTTGATAGTTTTTGCTTAAAACAAGAAAAAAAAAAAACATCTGCCAATGGGGTAAGAAAAATCATCTAAATGTAAAGGGAAAACAAGATTTTTTTTCTTGCCCCATTGGTAGATAATTTTCCTTGTTTTGAACAAAAAATAACACCATTTTGATATACATTTCAGGAAACATAAAGTCTTAAGTAATTTTGCTTTTCAAGTCAATTTATCTTGATTTAAGAATGTTCAGATACTTGTACTAGAAGACAAAATAAAAAACAAGACAAAAATACTAAACAAGAAAACATATATAGATTTTTTGCAGTGTAGAAAACCTTTATTCATTATCAGCCTCTTTGCAAAGCCAGAACACATTGCAACATAAAACAAATTTTGAAACCTAGTTAAAAATACAGTTGACCCAAAAATGAAAATGCTGTTATCATTTACTGTTATCAATGTAATTTCAAATATGCATGATTTCCTTTCTTCTGTGGAACATAAGAAGATAAAATGAATGCCATTGGGGTCCAAACAACATTGGACCTAAAAAATAATTTTAATTATTTTGTGTTCCTCAGAAGAAACACACTCATACAGGTTTGGAACAATAAGAGTGTAAGTAAATGATGACAGAATCTTCATTTCTGGACAAAATTGATCAGTAAAATGTTTAATGGCCACATAACTTCAGCAGAACTTTCCTATATTTGTTATTGGTGGTTATATACTTACTGGAATGAGATCTACTACTTCTCATGTTTTGAAATAACAGTATCTATCCTACTGCCTCCTTATTTCTTCACCTTGACTGACTGAGCGACCCAAGTTCATGAATACTGAATAGGCATTGTTGACGTAAATGTGGGCTGTCGTGTGCATTAATCGGACATTAAAAAGTCACAAAAAATCATAACTAACCATTTCCCCCGCATCATTTCAGTAAATGGTTGTTTTGGACACAAGAGAAGTTTCTGGTAATGAAACCTACGTTATGATTACGTGTTGTTTTTGAACTTTTTATAAATCCTTCCTATAAATGAAGTTTATAAAACCTCTAAAAACCGCTCAGAAGTCTTACGGCAGCAGAGCTACGAAAATTAAAAGCTCTTCTCGGCAACAACAGGAAATCTTCAAAATGCAGCTGGCAGAAGCAAAGAACACCCCCGCCCCAACCTTGACGTGCAACACTTGCACAAATAAGAGAGGAGATCCCTGGCGGGTACACCTGCAAAAGTGCCACCATCAGGGACCCTTGCAGATGGTTCTTCGTTTACGTGATGGGCGTCGATCTTAGTGGCTCATCTCAAATTTGGCTTCTCCATGTCTGTCCATGAGCCAGAAATCTATAAAGGATGTTGTGGTTGTTATGAGGTGCTGTAATGTGGTGAAGGTTGTTAACAACAGGAAAAGAGAAATATTACATTAGCAGAGTGTTGTGGATTTGTATAGATGGGTTATAAATGAGGCTAATCATTGTTTCTTTCTCTCTTTGTTTCGTCCAGTTTCCTGAATGTGGCTTTTATGGGATCTATGACAAGATCCTCCTCTTCAAGCATGACACCAGCAGCAGTAACATCCTGCAGCTGGTCAAGGCTGTGTCGGACATCCAGGAGGGGGACCTGGTGGAAGTTGTTTTGTCCGGTAAGTCGACTGGTATTAACCAATAGCTCAAAAGGCGTTCAAACACGCAGCAACAAAGCTATTGATTATTAAGATATGATGATTTCTGTTTACATGAAATTAATGATAGTACGTGTCCCTATTTAATTTACGATTTTATAAATCAAATTTGACCAGAATCAGATAGAAATAGAAATATTTTTTGGAGATTTACCCATAATACATAGAGATTTTCAAGATAGCACTGGAACATAAATCCACGTTTTGTATTATTTTATCAACTTATTGAAGCACTGAAGTGATTTAAAACAACAGTATATGACACAAAGTAGTTTCCCGAAAGTTGACACGCTTTTTAGAATGTTAAAATGCCATAATGTCAATAACTGAAATCTGAACAATAGCTTTTAACAAGAAGCCACGTCACTGAACTGAATATCAAAGTCTCATTTGGTGCATTTTAGCATTTTATCTAGTGGAGAAACTCCCACAAGCTCCAGTTGTTTGAACATGTGAGCCCGAGGTGAAGAGCCAACGTGGAAGATGTAATCAGCAGTTGAAATAACAGATTTAGAGATGGGGAGATACTGTATCTCTGCAACTCGCACAGCTTCAAATGTTGCAAATCATGTGAATTTGCAAAATCTGCATAAGAATATTTTCAAGATGAAAAATTTTAAAGAATGTACAGTAAAATTAAAAGTTGTGTAGTAGAACGTTTACAGTAAAATTGAACAGAGCCATTCAAGCCTTAAGCATTTTTGTTGTTGTTGTTAAATTAATAATAATAATAATAAAATTTAAAAAAAAAACAGATCTGTTGAAAATTGTATTTTCAAACTTTAAAATGTTGCAAATACAACTCTTTCTCAATTTAGGGACCGTATTGGTGTATTGTGTTTCCTTTCATTTATCACTCAATTTGGTCATAAAATGTCGAATTTACCTTCATAAAACCTGCAGAAATCCTAAACCGGGTTTGAATGACGTTTGAGCAGTTAGCACTGATGTCTCCTTTTTGCGATTTTGTTGTGTATTCTGCAGCTGCTGCTACATCCGAGGACTTCCAGATTCGTCCTCACGCTTTGAACGTGCACTCGTATCGTGCACCGGCGTTCTGCGATCACTGCGGCGAGATGCTTTTCGGCCTGGTGCGTCAAGGACTCAAATGCGATGGTGGGGACTCTGTCTTTCTCAAGTTGTATTCTTCATACTGCACTTGTTTTCATTCAATCATAGCTAGACTTGTTGCGAGCTGTCATGCCACTACATTTATTTTCCATGTCCCAGCTATCTCCATCTATGTCCAAGAGTGTTTGGACAGAAGCGTGATAAATGCCCACAGTGTCCAACTTTTTGCCCTCTCACTGTCTCCCCCTGCAGGTTGTGGACTGAATTACCACAAACGCTGTGCTTTCAGCATTCCCAATAACTGCAGCGGGGCGAGGAAGCGGCGGCTGTCCACCACGTCCCTCACCAGCAGTCAGTCTCTGCGTCTGTCCACCGCAGAGTCCCTCAGTAGTCTCAACAGCAGCGTGACGTCTGAAGAAGCCAGTCTCATCCGATCGCACACCCAGATGGTACAGCACACATTTAATTCCATGTCTAAAGTATTAGAATTAAGAAACATACTGGAAGTGTTACCATAAAAATATAGTTAACTATATTTAGTAATAATATATATAGATTTTTCAATTAACTTTAACATAATGGAATCTTAATGTTGTATTTAATAATATCATATCATGAAAATATCATGTTGTTCTGTCTCCAGCCCCGCACCCCCAGTGAGGCCAGGCGCTTTTACACCGGGCGGCCCGTCCACCTGGACAAGATCCTCATGACTAAAGTGAAGGTCCCGCACACATTCGCCGTTCACTCGTACACGCGTCCCACCGTGTGTCAGTACTGCAAGAGACTGTTGAGAGGACTCTTCCGCCAGGGACTCCAGTGCAAAGGTCTGACAATCCTGCTCAATAATCCATCCTGACTTACAAATTAGTACTACAGTACAACAGCTAGGTAATTGTATTAATTCATGTTGTATTAGTGAATTCCACATTTACCTGCATAATGACTCATATGCAATGACAAGGTGATCGGATTGAGTTTGCGGTAATGATTGGCTGACTGGACATTCTTCAGTCAAATAAATAAATAAATGCATGGACATAAAATATTGATTTGAGTTTAAATTAAATATTGAGTTGAGATGAAATTATGTAGTTATCTTGCTTGTAGTTTATCTTCAAATAACAGTAAAAGTACACTTACTATGTATACTCTCTTTTAAAAAAAGGGTCAGTAAGTTTTTTTTTCTTTTTTTGTACGTTTTTAAACACAGGAATAAATTACATTTTAAAACATATACAAATAGAAAACAGATTTTCATTAGACTGTTTAGGATCCAGTTTGTTGTTCTGTGAAAGAAACAATGATATCTGGTTGAAAACAACTCTTTCGAGGGTTTTCGCTATGAATGGAAGGAGAGAGACAGGTCTGTAGCTATCTGTAAGTGAAGTGTTTAATGTAGGTTTTTTGAGCAGTGGGGTTATCCGAGCCTGCTTGAATGCAGTGGGGAAGGTGCCTGTGAGGAGAGATGTGTTGATGATGTGTGTGAGTGCTGGTAAGAGTGAAGGAGAGATTGCTTGGAGGAGGTGTGAGGGGATTGGGTCTAGAGGGCATGTTGTAGGGCATTTTCACTTGTAATTGTATTTCAATTCATAATTGTACTGTTTTTACTTGATTTTTGATCAAATAAATGCAGCTTTGATAAACACAAGATACTTTTAAGAGCATAAACGACCTAAAAGACTTTCAGAATCATTAAAAAAAAAATCTTACTGACCACAAGCTTTTGAACGGTAATGTAGTTCGTAATATAGAAAATAATTCTAGCAACAAGACAAACATTAATAATAATACAGTAGTAATTTAAAATGATTAATTATTACAATTAAGTGACCTTTTTATATAGTCAAGTAGTGGACTTATTTATACACATTCTACATGCATATTAATGTAATTTAAATGATTTATAATAATTTAAAACCTATATTAATTTGTACGATTTAAATTTGATAAAAAATTTTATATTTGATTTTATGACACTTGTTTTTTTCTTCTTCTTTTTTAAGACTGCAAGTTCAACTGCCACAAGCGATGTGCATACAAGGTCCCAAATGACTGCTTAGGGGAGACTCTCGGTAATGAGTGTGAGAGAAACATTGTTGACATGATGGACATTGTTAACACATTTGGAATATTTGCTCTGTTTCTTCTGCTTCTTCAAACATGTAATTATTGCTTGTCACATCACGGTGCTTGTGTGTGAATTTTTGACTTCTTTCTCATCTGTCTGCCTCTCAGACATATTAAGTCCAAGCACAGACATGGAGGTGCCGATGGACTACAGTAATGAGTATTCTGACACTGATAAGTCATCTCTGATGGACGACTCAGATGAGGCCTGCAGTATCCCCGGGTCTTTCTCCCCAGACAGCAACCAGCATGGAGCCAGCGGAGACCAGAGGTAGTAAGACAGGTTTCAGACACGCAGACAAAATTAAGGCCTAGTCACCGTAACCACAACATTGGAAATAATAATAATAGAGTTTTATGCAACTCAGGCTCATTGGAAATACGTGACTGCCTACATTTTTGCGAAAATGTACCTATATATACATTCCACTAGAGTTTCACTAGAGTTTCCAACTGAAATGAACACTAGTGGCAATAAAATAGCAACAACTCTTGTTCCTTTTCACAATTTTGTAATCTAATAAATTTGATTGTTTGCATAACATAACCAGCTCCATATGTATGGCTTTTCTTGACATAGTAAACTTGCTCGATAGCTCACCCGGTAGAGTGTAGAACTTGCGATATGGAGCACTCTGGTACGAATCTGGTGAGAAAAGTGACACAACAATCCACAAAAGAGGTCAAAGCCTTGCATAAGGAAGCTAAAGTAATACCTAAGAAAATTAAACACACTATTTAGCGTCACTCACAGCACATTTTACCCGAAACTGCTATGAAACATGCTACAAGACGCATACTATCATTTTGCAACTATTTTGTACCCACAGGCATGCTATTTTTATGACACTGTGCTGTATATAAACCAGCATCTGCAATGGAGAAAAAGAGATATCACTGATAAGCACCTATTGTGGACAAAGTGCAGTGAAATATGTATATTTGGACTAACTATCTCAGATTTTGAGTCATGAGTCATGTATTTCTAATGAGCCTGGGATGGTTTTATGGCTTATACAAATCATAGCAAAATTACAAAAAGTGTACAAGCCCTTCACATCAAGTGTGAAAATTCAATTTACAACTATGCATTCTCATATTGCAGGTCAGTTTCCCTTTGCAAAAAAACGAACTGACCAATAAGATATTAGCTTTTCACAAACTATTCACAATTCATGTTGTTTTGGTGCATCTTTCTTTGTACGAATAGCTTTTATTCAGCATACAGTTGCCTGCATACCTCTATGTCTGCCACACACCTGGATTCTCTTATAAGATCTCATGATTTATGGCATGTGTGATGTTTCCCCAGTGCTAATATTCCTCTGATGAGAGTAGTGCAGTCGATCAGGCAGACCACACGTCGCTCTAGCACAGCCATCAAGGAAGGCTGGATGGTGCACTACAGCAACAAGGACACACTGGTACTTCCTCTGACTGCTGGCTGACCTGAAAGGGATAATTTACCCAAAATTCAGAATATTCTGACCTCATTTGCTAACTCTCATGTCGTTTCAAACCTGTATGACTTTTTTCTTTGGAACTGAAGACGGGATCTTTTGAAGAGCATCTTACATTTACCAATAAGTCTTCCAAATGGCTTTAGAATACTTAGATTACTTCAGAAGACTACAAAATAGAATGCAGAAGTCGATTATTAATGTATTAATTCAAAAATAAGAATAAATATGTTCAAATTCACAAATAAACATATTTAATACTTCAATATTTATTTTATTTTCATTTAGTTTCATTGATAAAATATTTAAAAATGCAATATATACACGCACACACACACACACACACACACACACACACACACACACACACAGACGTATGTATATATTGCATTTATATATATATATATATACACAGTAGTCAACATTTGAAATAGTTCAAAACCTTTCATTAAAGTTGTCCTAAAACCTAAAACCAAAATGCGTTCTTGTCTTAGGACAACTTTAATGAACTATTTTTTGATCCACGTATACTATACTATATATATATATATATATATATACAGGTGCATCTCTACTACATGTAAAGTAAAATATTTCAAATATTTTTTTTGTTTTCATTTTGATGATTAGAGCGTACAGCTCATGAAAGTAAAAAATCCAGTATCTGTATATCCGCTATATATATATAATACTGTATTATTGTATGACATTTAACTGACATTTTAAAGATATCTATTTGCCAGATTCCAATTTATCTACTTACATTTTTATTTTTAAATTGATAATTAATGACCTAGTTTCTTAAAGTGACACTCGTATATTATTGTTGTCTATTGTAAACCCTTGTTTGTTTTTTTAATATGGTTAATTATGTATTTAATAATTTAATATTTCGATATTTATTTAATGGTTATTTAATAGTAATATAGTCCAGTAGTCGTATGGACCATTTTAATGTATTTATTTATTCATCTACTAATTTAGGTGTTTTGAGTCTTAAAACACCCAGTTTCATTATATGGAAAATAGTGACAAGGATTTGCTTCAAATAAATTGTGTTCTACAGAGTTTGAACGATATAAAGATGAGTAAATTAAGTCTGACCTAGTTTCTTAAAGTGACACTCGTATATTATTGTTGTCTATTGTAAACCCTTGTTTGTTTTTTTAATATGGTTAATTATGTATTTAATAATTTAATATTTCGATATTTATTTAATGGTTATTTAATAGTAATATAGTCCAGTAGTCGTATGGACCATTTTAATGTATTTATTTATTCATCTACTCATTTAGGTGTTTTGAGTCTTAAAACACCCAGTTTCATTATATGGAAAATAGTGACAAGGATTTGCTTCAAATAAATTGTGTTCTACAGAGTTTGAACGATATAAAGATGAGTAAATCAAGTCTTTTTTTTTTTTGCGTGAACTATTCTTTTAACACAGCCAGCGTTTTCTGTCTAGTCTTTACACTATCCTTACCTCACTTCCAAACACCCTATCGATATTTCTTTATGTGTTCTGCATCATTCTGCACACTTGCGCTATAATATCAGCAAATCTTCAGCTTTTAAATCACAGGCTATTCTGGGCGACTTCTGCAGGAGTGGGTATTGATTTGTAGGAATGAATAGCAGTAAATGCCATTCATAGTGTTTGGTGCTTCTAGACGAGTATTTTCACAAAGAATGGGGAAAAAATGGCCGAGGCATTTTCTCAACATTGATATATTGACCTGTTCTCGGCCTCCAGTAAAACTTCTGAATTTCTGTGTAGCATTTTACTCCTCTTTAGCCTTTTCTTTTTAACTTTCCTCCTGGTTTTTCTCTTGCGTCCTCCTCTTCTCTTCAGCTCTGTTTATCCTTCGCTTTCTTCCTCCTGTCTGTTGGGGTGAATCTGACCCCAGCACCAACTCCTTGTTGAGCAATGACCTCTGACCTTTCACCCCACCCTCCAACAGAGGAAGAAACACTACTGGCGCCTGGACTGCAAATGCATCATCCTATTTCAAAATGACACCACCAACAAATACTACAAGGTAGAATCTCACTTTCTTTTGTGTTTTAATGACTGTTTATTATGAAAGCATATTTCCCCCAATGCATGAAAAAAAAAAAAATCTGACAATTTGGACTTTTATTCTCACAATTCCGAGTTTATATCGTACAATTCTGAATTTTGAGACAAAAAAAAGATGTAAAAAGCAATTCGTTTTTACATTTTCTATTCCACGTTGGAAACAGAAAAACTATTGCGAGGATGTAAATTTGGGATTGCAAGAACAAAAGGTCGAATTCTCAGTTTATATCCCATAATTCTGAGTTTGTCTTGCAATTATGACTTTTTTCTTGCAATTTTGAGAAACAAAATTATTAAATTACACAATTACTTTTTTAATTCCATGGTGTGAAAGAAATTCACACCATGGAACAAAAGTTAGAATTTTTAGAGTTAGAGTTTGTCTTGCAGTTCTGAGTTTATATCTTGCAATTCCGACTTCCGCAAATGTCAAAATTATGAGATATAAACTTAGAACAATCCTGAATTTTTCTCAGAATTGAAAAAAAAAATGCAGTGATTGATTTAAAGTTGACTTATAGTTATTTTCAGCTTTCAGTGTTCTCTCACTGTAAAATAACTTCATTATTGTTAAAAAAAACAAAAAAATTCACTAAAATGAACAATTTTGCTTATAATCTCTGCACAGGAGAGAGTTGATGTTGTTTCCAAATAAAAGGAAATATATCGGTATTGGCATCAGCAATGGGCTAAAACGAGTTGAAAAATATCGGCATATCAGATATCGGCAAAATCCTGTTCTTTGGGGAACCCAAAATAGTTATTCTCTGGCATCACTGCAAAAATCCACTTTTTTATCTTTTCTTTTCTTTTTTTCAAAGTTTAAACACCAAAAATGGAATTCTTATTCATAACCCATGTAAATACCAGCAACAGTGTGTGACAACCTTGTGAAGACTTACAGAAAACGTTTGACCTCTGTCATTGCCAACAAAGTGTATATAACAAAGTATTGAGATGAAATTTTGTTATTGACCAAATACTTATTTTCCACCATAATTTGCAAATAAATTCTTTAAAAATCCTACAATGTGATTTTCTGGATTTTTTTTTCTCATTTTGTCTCTCATAGTTGAGGTATACCTATGATGAAAATTACAGGCCTCTCTCATCTTTTTAAGTGGGAGAACTTGCACAATTGGTGGCTGACTAAATACTTTTTCCCCCACTGTATATGCAATAGCAAGCACCACTAATGATATGCAAGAATGGACCTTTGCAAAAGATCTCGCATATACAACACATAATCATTTCCTCAACCCACACAGGAAAACACAGGAAAACTGGCCGGGATGTAGCCGTGAAGGTGATCGACAAGCTTCGGTTCCCCACCAAGCAGGAGAGCCAGCTGAGGAATGAAGTAGCCATATTGCAGGTGACCAGCAAGGGGCGATAGCGAATCAATGATTCATCACATTGTATTGACTGAATGATAATGAACACATATAACACAATTAAACCTGCTGTGTGCCTGCTGATTGTGAGGATACCAAACATAAGGTCATGAATGCAAATAAGCAACAACGTGACTCACTCAACCGCATCTCTTTATCTTGTCCTTTCATCCTCTCTCAGAGCCTGCGACACTTGGGTATAGTGAATCTCGAATGCATGTTTGAGACACCGGAGAAGGTGTTTGTGGTGATGGAGAAACTTCATGGTGACATGCTCGAGATGATCCTGTCGAGTGAGAAAGGACGACTTCCTGAGAGACTCACCAAGTTCCTCATCACGCAGGTCAGCGCTGCGTTTAGAGCTTAAAACTTGCTTCTCAGAGGTTAAGAACTGTTCACACCAAGGACATTCGGTTATCACAGTCATTCTAAAGGCCTGTTCACACCAATAGAGATAGCTATAATCGCTATTAACTACAACTATAATGATAACTATATAAGTGTCCTGTTTATTATAAGCGCATGCAGCATTTTTTCATCTGCTGCTTTAAAGGTGTCATGAACTGCCTTTTTTATTATTTTGTACTGTTCTCTGAGGTCCACTTATGTTATCAAGACTATGCAGACTTGGAAGTAAACGCCCACTGCTATGATTGGCTAATTGTTGTGTATGTTTGACAGCCTACAGCCTTCACAGATGGACACTGCTGTGATTTAGGTCAAAAACGCATAAATACTCAATGCATATCAAATATAAGCTGTTTAGACTAATGAGAAAGTTTTGAGTTCTGAAACTTACAGGATGTTTTTTTTTTTAAATAGCACAATAACCTCTTATATATTATTGATTTGCCCGCTCATATATTATATATTATTGATATTGATTTTTCAGTTCATTACGCCTTTAAATGCTCTTTCATGTCTGACTGAATGTTGATGCTTTTTATCATTCACCACCTGGAAAAAAAAAATCATTCTGAAAGTGATTCCAAGAATATTGTTACTCTGCACTCCTAAAAATAAAGGTGCTTCACGATGCCATAGAAGAACCTTTTTTTGTCTAAATGGTTCCATAAAGAACCTTTAACATCTGAAGAACCTTTCTGTTTCATAAAAGGTTCTTTGTGGCGAAAGAAGGTTCTTCAGATTATAAAAAGGTAAGAAAGGGATGGTTCTTTAAAAAAAACCTTTGACTGAATGCTTCTTTGGATGGAACCAAAAATTCTTCTATATGGCATCGCTGTGAAGAACCTTTTAAAGCACCTTTAGTTTTAAGAGTGTGTGTCATTATTGTTATAGTTGTGGTGTGGACTTCACTGTTCTCATAGAATTCAAATCTGTTAATATGAACTAATGATGAGTTCTTGACCAATCAAGAACTAACCTTAAATACGGCTTGAGTCGTATGGATTCATGTGTGGATACTGACTGCCTTAAATACATGTTAGTACGTGCCTTTTAGATAATATATTGATTAACACTTTGGGGTAAAATTTCACATTTGAACTCATGTTTTGATATTAGTTCTTGATTAGTACATGCCTTAAATCATCAATAGTTCATATTAATGTAATATTTAATTGAAGTATTAGTATATGAATATTCATGTACTGTTATTGTAAAGTGTTGCAGATAACTATAACGATAACTATGGTAGCATTGTGTTCCGTTTGTTATTAGCACACTGCAGTTTTGTCATTTAATTTTTTTTAAAAGAATGCACTGTAGTTTTGTCCTCGAGCTCTTTAAAAGCCAGGTAGATTCTGATTGGCTGTCAAAGATTTTATTGTATAGTTATCGCTATAGTAATCATTCTTGGTGTGAACGGGCCTTTAAAGACATTATTTTAAACCAGTATCTTCTCTCTCATTCCCTCTCTAGATTTTGGCTGCTCTGAGGAACCTTCACTTCAAAAACATAGTGCACTGTGACCTCAAGCCTGAGAATGTGCTGTTAGCATCAGCGGATCCTTTCCCACAGGTCAGAAATTCAAAAAACTTAATTTTAACACAAAGAGGCATGGGAAACAAAGTACAGCTCTTTTTTCTGTTGCATAATGCAAGGTTATACTTCTCCTTTTCGTTGACTCTTAACACTTCTTCACACCCACACGGGATGTTCACAGGTGAAACTTTGTGACTTTGGTTTTGCTCGCATCATCGGAGAGAAGTCTTTCCGCCGTTCGGTCCACCAGAAATGTATGAGTCATGATACAAATGCAAAGAAAAAAAAAATTATCTATTAAGCTGGACTTTTTTTATTTTTTGTGCTCTGTGGTGACTCCACCTTTAGTTTCAGATCCACTTTTTACGTATTACTGAGAACCATTTCACAAAATAACCTGGAAGAAGTCCAAGAGTCTGGTGTTTTCCAGTATCGTCATCGGTTTGCCCTCCGTGGGGAAGATAGCATGGATGTTATCTTATGAGGACTGATAAGCAGGCTGCCCCTCGGCCTTATCAGCATACAAAATAAGTGCACAAAGACTACCTAGACTGTTCTCAGATCAGCCGCTGTTAGCAACCGGCTGATCTTTGCTTGTACTGGATGTGTATTCTTATTCCTAACTGACCCTAGACCTGAGCATTAGGCTGCATGTCACTGAGAATATTAAGTTTGCTTGAAACTTATTGCTATGAAGGACTATTTTGTACACATGTAACCTTAGAAATTCTGATGTAGTTTGTGGAAGGTAATGTCGGAGCATTGCCAGCAGGTATAATAAACACGGTGATGCATAAATCTGTTGATTTTTTTTTTATCCTCTTTTCCTGATTGATTCTCAAAAGAATCTAGCAGAGAGAATGACAAAATGAAAAACATAAAAATACATGGAGAAATTGTTCCAGGTACAATACGGCTTAAGCTTTACTGACAGCATCTGTGGGCACAGAAAATTATTTCAGCTTGTTCCTCAGTTTGTAAAGCAAAAGTGTTGAGTTTGAGTAATGCGCTTACTGTACAGTTGAAGTCTATGGAGAAAAGGCATTGTAGAGGGTTTAATATATTCATTCTTATACCAGTATAATCATTTATCTGCATTTGAGCTATAAATCATCCTTTTAATGGTGAAACTACGACAGATTGGGAAAGATGGCGTGATAAGTAACATATTAGAGGATGATGATGTGTTATTAAATGTCTTATTAAGGGAAATCAAAGGAAACATTTGCTAATTTAGTTTATATAGCACAATTTAAATGGAATCATTGAAAACCATCAAAAGGCACTATATGTCCCACTTTAGCTTAAAAACCAGAAGGAAAACTTGCCACCGCTCTCATCTGATTTGATCAGAATATGGAAAATATGGAATATATATATATATATATATATATATATATTTTTTTTTTTAATGTGTCATTAATGGAAAATTTATAAATAGCAGATTACCATTCAAAGGGAATAATTATATCAATTATATAGAGACTTATATTTTTTCATTTTAAATGGTAAGACTAAATAATATATTAGAATTTTAAATATTAACTTATGTCAACAATGCAAGATACAGTATTTTATTTCAAAATTATATAACAAATCTATTTCAAATCAATTCTGTTCTACTGAACCTTCTATTCCTCGAAGTACCTCTGTTGTCATAAAAATATTCAGCAAATCAGCCATATCAGCATATTAGACTGATTTCTGAAGAATCATGTGACACTGAAGGCTGGAGTAATGATGCTGAGAATTCAGCTTTGCCATCAAAGGAATGAAAGACATTTTAAACTTTATTAAAATAGAAAATAAATTATAATAATACCTCACAATACTGATATTTTGTCACACTTTATTTTAAGGTCCAGTTCTTGCCTTGTGGCACTCCATATTTTACTGGTGATAATTGAGATGACTCCCCATTTAAATGAACAAAATGGTAGCGATCGGACAGGTATGATCTAAACCATCTTAAAGCCTGCCCTTGAATACCTGTATAGTTTTGTAATCGATCTATGAGTATGTCATGATCTATAGTGTCGAACGCAGCACTAAGATCAAGTAAAACTAGCAATGAGATGAGCTATTAACAAATCATTAACTACGACTTTTGCCTCAATCAACTCAATATTATTAGTTGTTTAGTTTAGGTATTGGGTAGGATTAGGGATATAGAATATGGTAATGCAAAATATGTGCTTTATAAGTACTAATAAACAGCCATTATGTTAATAATATTCATGCTAATAACTAGTTAGTAATAACTAACTAAAAACTAGTTAATAGTGAGAATTGTGTCCCTGTTCTAAAGTCTTAGTTTAGGGACAAACTCTTATTAACTTGCTTATTTGCATGCATATTACTAGCATATAGGCTATTTATTATCAATGGCTTATCCTGCATGACCATATTTTAGATCTAGTTCTATTGCAAGTGAATTACTGTGAACACATTTTTTGTTTGTTTTTTATAAACTGAGGGGACACAACTATGTGATAATCGCCAAAATGCCACAGAAACCGCTGATAGAGTTCCACATTAATTGAACCAATAATTGCTTTAAGTTTAAACTCAAACGAATATTTCCTGATTGAAACTGTGAATGGTACATTACGTTGTTTCAGATCTAAAAACTTGTTGTTTCTATGAAGTTAAAAACATTAGGAAATGGAAAGTATCATATTTGCCCTGACAGTTTTAGGAAAAGCCCACATGTATTAGTCCAGAAACTGCTCTGTACTCTAGAAATCAGTCAGTTAGTAAAATAAAAGAAAATGCAAACCAGCAGAAACGGGAAGAATATGAAACAAATAACATTTTTTATATTAAAAATATAAAACAGTAATGAACCCCAAGCAGCAGGCAACCACAAAACAATGTGTACAGCATAAACATGAATTATCTAACAATACGTTTTAGATACAAGTCTCATTCCTTACCTGTATTATTATAGTCAATAATTTATGAAATTCACTGAAAGGTCAAAACACCTTTTGATGAACTTGAGTTGTACCTTTTTATCAGACATAGGTGAACTGCTCCACATTTCCTCATGAAACGTAACCATTAAATAATCAGTTAAGAGAATATTAAGTTTATATAGGTTTAACCAAATTTCTCAGAAGTCTCAGCCTTTTTTCTTTGATTCAGTTTTGATTTATCTATTCAATCAGGTTTTACTAACAGTGGTGTCTTAAAGTGGAAAAACATGACTGAGTGCTCATAATGCAAATTTTAGTTTGATTCCTTTACAGCCATTATGGCAAGCACAGAGAACATGTTCACAAGTCTGCAGTGTCAGTGTATGCTAAACAGGAAGTTGTGGCATTGTGTCAGACTGCCTCTGAGGCAGACTGAACCATCACTGGAAGTTTGTCATCTGTCGTTCACCGCGTGTCTGGAAAAAGCTTTTACTCATTGCGGTTCCCTCTAACGCTATCATATGCAGCTCTAAGGAAAAAAACAAAAAAACAACCTAGCCCTAGCCTAACATCTTCCTGTAGACATACATGTGTGAGAGCATGTGGATATCTCTCCTCCCCTTTCTCTCTCTCAATTCATCTCCTCTCCATCCACTCTGCGGGAAGTGCATCGGCCGAACCTGCTCTCACAGGGTCACTTTTGATCTTCTCCTGCCAGGAAGCATTATTAAAGTGCACGACACCCTCTTCACGTCTGAGGAACTCAGCTGCGCCACTTTTCTCAGAGGTCACGCGGGCCTGGAGCTGGACTTGAGGCGGTTCTGGGACTGAGGTTGTAAAGTTACACTACTGGGATTGGGTGGACACCCTTCTCTGGTTGGAGCTGGTGGAGAACAACTCATAATTCGTTGTGTTGATTCGCAGGTGAGGTTCTTTCATTTTTTTGGGCTGGTTTTGTTACAAGAATTACAAGAATAATAGTGAACCAGTGTGTATGTGTAAATAAGATAAAATCAGAGGGTAGACATGCTTGTTTGTTTCCTGTGCTATAGATAGTAACACTACTAATGCGGTTGTCAGACACTTGATCCTAATATTTTTAAATGTTCACAACACTGGAATGTGTATATAGAGCATCCGGCTGCCACGTCTAGTATAATAGGGAGTTTTGAAAGTACATGTTTGTAACATTTTAATCAGACTAATAATATGTTTTGAAGTTAGTAAATTGCATTGCGAGAAATCAAGCAAAATTAATACATTTTGGGAGATAATTATACCTTAGAAAAAGTAACGGCTGACAATTAATTTGATTTAATGTTGTGATATTGTTAAACTATGAGGTGCGTCTTAGAATTGATTTAATTTATAAACTGACAGTCATATAGCATGCAGAAAAATATGGGACTTTCACTTGTCTTCGAAGAGTTTTTTTTTTCTTGAAATGATGAGGTAATTATGATGGTTTTAATAATTAGTCATTAATGGAGTAAAAGGGGACAAAATATGATGGTAACCGAGATGATGCACATCCTGGAAATTTCCAAAAAGTGCATCTCAACATCTCAAGGTGTGTTAACCATCATCTGTTACCGTCATATTGTCCCCTCTAAAGCAATGAACTAATCCATTAATAAGTTCAAATTGTTATAAAAATTTAAAAATTGTCATAACATGTCATAAAAGCATTGTCATGACAGCATTAGCATCATATATGCATAATAAATAAATACAAAAATTAATGCAGAAAAATGACCAAAAAAACCTAAATTGTTGTTGAATGTTTTAAAAAATTTATTTATTAATTTGTATTAGTAGTGCTCTCAAACGATTAATCGCGATTAATCGCATTCAAAATAAGTTTTTGCTTACATAATACATGTGTGTGTATATTTATTACGTATATATAAATAGACACACGTGCAGGTATATGTTTAAGAAAAATTTTATGTTTATATAGTAACTATATTTATATATAATATAAACTAAATGAATATAAATATATTAATTATTAAATGCATGTAAATATTTTCAAAATGTATACTGTATGTGTGTATTTATATAAAAACAATAAATATACACAGTACACACACATATATTATGTAAACACAAACTTTTGGTAACACTTTCTATGAAGTCCATATTATAATACATTATAAGGGTATTCTTAAGGCATTATAATGAATGCATAATGCATTATAAAAAAAAAAACCTTATATGTTAGATCATCTTATTATAATACATAAAAAATGTTCTTATGAATATTCATATTTACTTATTTGTGGTTATAGCTTTTAAGAGTATGATGATTTATAACACACAGTGAACGATGGATCCACTTAAGTTACAATGGATTATATTTCCCATAGTTATAATATATTTATTATGCTACTTTAGACCACTTATAAGTATAGTAATAGTAATAATACTTTTTTTTCCTCAAACAGCCATAAGATCAGATATCAGATCAGATGAATGTGTAATACATTTGCTTTGAACTATTTTTACTGTAATATCAGTTTGATTATTTTGATGGTACCTTTTAGACAGCAGTTGATAAGTAACTCTGCAACGTCAACTAGCAGTCGTTGGAGTATTAGTAGTATGTCTGCTAAATATATGCTATTACTTTATTTTGATGGTTCCCCAACAGACAAACTCACTAGAAGTAACGTTGCAAGTACGTCAACATTCTACCTACCCTAACCTTAAAGGTGGGGTAAGAGATTTTTCAAAAATGCTTTAGAAAACTGATTCGGGCCAGTAGCAAAACAAACTTGTAGCCAATCAGCAGTAAGGGGCGTGTCTACTCATGATCTGGAGGAGAGAGCGTTCAGTGCTCACATTAGCGAGCCGAGCGACAGAAAGCTAGATGGCGGATAAAAAACAAAAGAAGAAAACGTCTGCGGAACAAAAGAAGGCAATAATGCAAGAAGTAGGACCCGTGTAAATATCGGATCAGCTTTCCAGCGCTGGAGAGAACTCAAGGACTGGAAGGCCTGCGATCAGACGTCGAGGTTGCTTTGTTTCTTCTCGATAGGTGAGTAACACCGTGTCTGCGCCGCAACAGCTAAAGTCTGTCTAGTACACTGGACACGACAAAGCGACCGTTGAAAATCATTTGAAATTGTGTCAATACGTCATAAATAGAACGCAGCAGCAGTTTTTTTGTCGGAGATTTGTCGTGTTGTGCCGCGCCGCATCCAGTGTAGACATAGATATGTATATATCTATATGGTGTAGACAGCATTACTGATTATAATGAGTTCTATAGTATTTTGTCGCGCCACTCGCGTCCGTTGTAGACACGGTGTAACATTGGTTTTGCTTTGTTTCACAGAACTAATCGTTGCCTGGGTTGCATACGTATGTGTGGGGCGGAGCTATCAAAATAGGGGCGAGACCCTTTTGGGGTAGAGGGGTGTTTGTTTTGGTGATTTCAAATGTCAACATTGGCTACCAGAAATCGCTTACCCCACCTAAGCCTACCAATACTCTAATGAGAGTTAGTTGACATGTAGTTGCAAAGTTGCTTATAGTCAATAGACTAAGGGGACCATCAAAATAAAATGTAACAACATATAAACATTGCATTTTTTTCAGTTTAAATTATTAACTAGCTCACATCAAAATTAATATTAGCCTCACAGGGAACACTCAAATAACACTCCACACCTAACAACTTACAAGATGTGGTAAGATACTGCACAGATCTTAAATAAACAATGTCAAGATATATAGTCCATTATAAATGTAAAAGTAGATTTAATATGGTGTTCATTGTGTTATAAATAATCATAATCTTAAACGTTATAACCGCAAATGCGTAAGCATTATAATGTGTTATAATTGTTGTTATGATTATGCATTAGATTATATAACATATTATACGTTTTTTTATGCATTCATTATAATGCCTTAAGAATACCCTTATCATGTATTACAAATATGGGCTTCATAGAAAGTGTTACCAAACTTTTATTTTGAATGCGATTAATCGTGATTATGCTTTTGACAGTCCTAATTATTAGTCTATATTTACATATAGTAAAGCTGGCTTTAATTATTTTTCACACATGTATTGTAAATGACAAACTGAAATGACATCTATTTTGCAAAATGAACCCTTTGATTCTGAAGTGCACCATTCTCTCACCCCCCCAATAAGATTTTAAATAGGTGAAGTGCTTTACTCGGTAAAAAAAATAAAAGATGCAGACTAGTCTGTTTTTTTGAGTAATCAACAATCTCCTCATTGCGTGACCCAAGGCATTTTTAGGGTCATATGTCTCTGCACTGACTTAACAGAATTTATAACACTGACATAAAATTGATGCAAGGTAAAAACAGTTTTTAGTTTTGTTCTGCACTTACATCATTTTCCTGCAGCCTGAGTATGCAGTGGCCTCAGGATGGGAGTTGGTTAGGGGGCGATTATGCCATTCAGAGGGGCTGACAGGACGTGCAGCCCACCACTCTTCTTTCCGGACCACTAGCCTGTGTCTCAACAGCTTTCAGGGGTGCTCATTAAACCTGTAATCACAATAGCAAAACAAGAATAAAGCAGTGTAAACACATTACGTAAGCTAAGGGAAAGGAAACAGAAAGGAAATCTCAATTAAAGTAGATGTGTTTATCAATACTGTACAGTAACTGCTGACTGAAGAGTCCCACATTATCCCGGATTTTGTCCCCTTCCTGGACAAACACTGAAAATATCCTACCCAGATTTTTAATAATACTATCACTAAAACAGTTGTTAGACCATCCCTAACATCGAAAAAATCAGTGGAATGCACACCCTAATGGCCTTTTGCTTTATTGAGCCCCAAATATGCAATCTGATAAAAAAAAACATGATGTGAAAACAACAACAACTGTTCTTTTAAAGGAACACCAAATGATAACTGTTTTTTTTATGCTTTCAGCAGCTGTGAAAAAAATGAACTTAATTGTATTAAATGTGCACTTGTAGTGAACGTCAAATCTTAAAAGTATATTTTCAAAACAGATCATTTAATATGAATAAAAAGGCCACTTAAATGTACTTAAAGAGAGTACACTTGCATGTTGCATACAATTGCATGTTTTTAACATGCTTAAGTACACTTTTAAAAAGTGCACTTTGAAATAATGTAAAATTAATGATTTTAAAGTACATTTTAAATCATTGTTTAAATAATCTTTTGTTTTTCTTTAATGTAATGCAGTTATTTTGATGTGTTGACTGATTGCATACTAAAACACATGAAGTACGTTATTTGAAATTGCATAAAGGATTAATATAATTGAATACATTTGTATATTTGAAGATTTCAGATGCAAAAACCTCTTAGTCCGTCTAATAATTTTCTTTTACATGAGCATTTTTATCAGGCTCCTATGAAAATAACACTGGACATTTTTTAAAATAAGGCATTCAGTAACTGACTAATAACCTTTTCTTTGCCATTAAAAGAAAAATAACTAAACACAGGAGCCTGATAAAAATTGCTCATTTAAAAGAAAAAAAAAGTATTTAGAGGTGTTTGCATCTGAAGTCTTAATTTATAATTGCAATTAAATAATATATTTTAACATGCAATTAAGTGCCTGAAAACATTATATTAAGTTTGCACTTAAGTGAATCTTTTAAAGTGTTTTATTTCTGTAATATGCTTTTAAAAGTATGCCAAGGTATACTTATTTTTCACAAAGGAGTGAGTAGGAACACAACAAAACCATACGATTCATTGCTCACTTGATCCGTTTTGGACTTTTCACGTCAAACATTCTGAACTTGGAAAATATTATATTAAAGTACCTGTGTATTTCCTTTATGGTACAGCCCCTTTTGTGGTTTGGATCTTGTGGTTATGGTTTAAATTAATTTCTTGGCCTGTGTCCATGTTTGTAATATCTGGTGTTTGAGTGGCAACATTTATATGCAAAATCCGAAAACATCATTATGTGGTGTTTAAAGTCATCAGAGCATCAGAGATATATGGTGTATGTTGGTATTGGTTTAAAAGTGAATATTCCATTTAAACAACAGTAAACAATGTGCAGTTTCTATTTTGTGATGCATGATCTAAATTTCAACCACAATCCTGTTGCAGACTTTAAAGGGCACACCACATGCCCTCTTACTTCATGACGTAAATTAAACATGAAAAAAAAAAATGCACGAAAACAGCCGGACACATTTTGAAATGACAGTATCATTAGCATAGACTTCACAGCAAGTGAATCACAGCACATCTTTATCATCGCTTATCCCGAAATAACCATCACACTGTAAAAAAATAAGTGTAATTTTAACTGTAAAATTTTGTAAAAACGCTACGGAAAAAAACTGTTAACAGGTTAACAGTAAGTTCCCGTACTATATACAGGGAAAAACTGTAAAATATCTAACCAGACATTTCATGTAATTTTACAGTAAAATGCTGTTAATTTTACAGTTTTTAGAAGTAAAAATAACAAATCAATGTATAATTTACAGTCAAAAACTGTAAACTGATATTCCCAGAATTCCCTGCATGACACTCCACATTTGAAATTATTTTGTTTAAATTATGTTTTTTTTTAAGTTTTTGTTATTAGTTATGTATATTTGGGCTTTATGTTACATCTTCTGTTGTTTAATGAAAGTTTAATGCATTATTTAAGTATCACGTGTGTTACCATGATGGTGTTTTGTGTTTGCATGAATGACTCTGTGCACCTTCTATATATTAGTATATACTTCTGCTTGTGGCGAAGCTACTTGTGATGAGCTTTGATTCTTCATGTGGCTTTCTCTTTTACCACCTGCATTATTATGGTGGTTGTCAGTATGTTAAAGGTACAAAACAGATTTTAATAGCAGTGTGCATTGTTGAATTTACTGGTTTACATTCAAATTTTCTTGTTCGTAAATTACAGTTTTATACTGTAAAATTTACAGTTTTTGGCCGTAAATGTGTTTACTGTTTTTCTGTATCTTTTACAAAATTATTCTGGCAACCACAGCAAATTTTTTTTGTAAAAACTACAGAATTTTTTTTACAGTGCAGACTTGAAGAATAATGATTCGGTACTACAGCAGAGCTGAAGGGGAGGCTGTTTATGATGCAGTTTTCAATTTTTATTTGTATTGTATGGGAGACTGTTGTGTATTTGCTGGTTCAATCTAATTCTACATCTCAAAGTCATATTTGAAGCTTTAAGAGAGTGTGCTCAGGTTACCCGACTATTGATTTTTCCTCTGTTTGCACGGGTAGGGTGAATTGTGCACATTGCTTAAAAACCGTCGCTCCGTTAGACCTGAATTGAATTTTAGTGTAACATACTGCTGCTAGGCCAATCACTCTAGCAGCTAATGCTGTTAGTACGCCTGAGTTTGATAAAGCAGATTAAGAAGACCGTTAAGATCTCAAAGTCTCTTGCATGAAGCAGAGGTCTGTGAATACATAAAACTTTTAAAAAGTAATTTGATACTTAAATGTTTTACTTGTCTTTGTTTGCAGCCACATATTGTGCAGATAATATAATATTAAGGAAATAAAAGGCTACTTAAAGGGAGCGTTCACCCAAAAATAAAAAGTCATGATTTACTCATACTTAAGTTGTTCCAAACCTGTATGAGTTTCTGTCTTCTGTGGAACACAAAAGAAGAAGAAGATTTTAAAGAATGTTGGTAAAAAAAAAAATGTTGCCGGTAGCCATGACATCCATGGTATGAAAAAAAAAAGTCAATGGCTAACCAACAACCAGTGTTGGGAGTAACTAGTTACATGTAATGAAATTACATAATTTAATTACAAAATACATGAGAAAAATAAAAGAGTAATTAAATTACAGTTACTTATGAAAATGTTAACGATTACAAAGGGGGTTACATCTGAATATTTTCACACACACACAGAAGTGTAGGACACAGAATAGAACACATGCTTATTTGATAACAGTTTTATTTTCTATTTTGGTTATATGCTTTATTTTTTTAAGATTGACATTTGTTTTTTTTTTTAAGGCACTGTTATATTCCAGTGTTTTCTATGGAAGCCCGTTTCCGCCACTGAATAAAAACTTTTTCTCACAATTCTGACTTTTTTCACAGAATTGTGAGATATAAACTCGCAATTGCGAGTTATAATGTCAGAATTGCGAGATATAAAGTCAGAATTGCGAGATATAAAGTCAGAATTGCATGATATAAACTCACAATTGTGAATTATAAAGTCAGAATTGCGAGATAAAAGTCAAATTTTGAGGGGGGGGGGGGAAATACTGATATGTTCTCAGAATTGTGAGTTTATATCATGCAATTCTGACTTTATATCTCGCAATTCTGACTTTATATCTCGCAATTCTGACTTTATATCTCGCAATTCTGACTTTATATCTCGCAATTCTGACTTTATATCTCGCAATTCTGACATTATAACTCGCAATTGCGAGTTTATATCACGCAATTCTGAGAAAAAAGTCAGAATTGTGAGATAAAAATTCGCAATTACCTTTTTTATTTTTTATTCAGTGGCGGAAACGGCGCTTCCATGGTTTTCTGTCATAGCAATGCAAAGATTTGATTTCAAAACAGTATCATAGAGTAGCTATTAAACTATATCGTGTTATGATTTTAAATATGTGTTTAACCTCGGAACAATCTTAAAGTGATAAGAGGTGTAAAGTCTGAGTTTAAGTGGTGGCTCTGCTTTAAAATGTAAATATTATAATATTAATTCAAGCGATGAAGTATTTTGAAAGTGTGACAGTAATTAGTGTTGAGTACTACTGCAGAGTTAACCCTGCCTGCTTTAAATGTTTGAAAATAATTAGCAGTTGAAAGTATTCGTGAAAAATTTAGAAAAGTAATCAAATGTAATCAGTTACATTAAGAAAGTAACTGAAATAGTTACACTACTTTGCATGTTAAATAGGGTAATTTGTAGGGGTTGAACGATTTCTGATTTTTTAAAGTCGACTTTATTTGATGAAAGTTGAGTCGAAGTCAACTAGTGTTGACAATACATTTCCGCGCTGAATGATTCTGTGTGCTCGCGATCTGTGCGTGATTTACGAGCTACTGTCTGTAGCCTATGTGTGTGTGTTACAGTGCAGCAGCGCATTATAGAATGGCGAGATAACTTACCTGTACAATAAGCTGTTTAAAACGTGCATTCTCCAGTTCAATTTCGAGCATCCAGTAATATAATCACACATATCTTGTGGAGCGCTTTCAGAGTATGCATTTATTTGTCATTTTAACTGTTTGGAAACAGAGTGTAAATGTCAACGTCAAGCTTAATGCGTTATAGCAGAGCATTGAAGTCGATTAGTCGGTGCAGCCCCTAGAAATTTGTAATCTGTAACCTATTACATCTCCAAAGTAACCTTCCCAACACTGCCAACAACTTTCATGTTTGGGTGATCTATCCCTACTTGCAAACAAAACTACATTAATATGATTTGGATCTATTTATTTTTATCTTGACATCTCTCCAGATCACATTTTGTTCTTAGCACATGCTTGCCGACATTACACAAAACACATTACTGCACGTACTGTACCAGGACTGGCAGCTGAGAGTAGAGGTGCTTTCCTGTGTAGAATCCCCCATGTGCCACCGTGTTATGAGTAGTTGTTTTGCTTCCTGGTCCAAATCAAATGAGCCCACCCCGTTTGCCCACCACAGTCCCCATGACATTTTGATCTTGAGATGATGTTTAGTTTCTCATGTGAAAATAAATCAGCTCACTTTAAAATATTAGCAACCTCTCCTCAATAAACCACACACACTATTAGGAGGCTGACTCATTCTGTGAATGAGATGTTACAATCAGTTAAACTTCAAAGAACTGGAGAAAAAACAAATGATTCAGGTATTCGATGTGTCATCATGTGGTCCCTGCCACATCACATGTTCCAAAATAAAGCCATATTTAATAAATATACTGTAAATAAGGGTGTTTTGTGCGCACATTTCAGTTAATTCTTTAAAATATAATATGATAGTTCACTTTAGACATTTTTCTAACTATAAGTAACTTTCCAACTGTCAACTAACTCTCTTTAGAGTATTAGTAGAGTGTTAGGGTTAAGTAGTAGAATAACTTGACATGCAGTTGCAAAGTTGCTTATAGTTAGTAGAATGTCTAAAGGGGACTATCAAAATGTTATCATATTACCATCATTTTTTATCGTATTACCATAATTTGTTACAAATAAAAAAATATACTTATTTCAGATGAAAATGTTTAGTAGTATGTCTTTAAATACATATGAAAACTAAATTCATATGCATGTCGATAAAATGTAGCGCTGTCAAACGATTAATCGCGATTAATCGCATCTAAAATAAAAGTTTTTGTTTACATAATATATGTTTGTGTACTGTGTATATTTATTATGTATATAAAAATACACACACATGCATGTATATATTTCAGAAAAAATGTGTTTTTATATTAATTATATTTATATATAATATAAATTATATGAATATAAATATATGCATGTAAATATTTTGAAAATATATACTGTATGTGTGTGTATTTATATATACATAATAAACAGTACACAAACATATATTATGTAAACAAAAAAACTTTTATTTTGGATGCAATTAATCACGATTAATCATTTGACATCACTAATAAAATGGTCATACCAGTTTTTAATTTGCAAAACAATTCTTAAATAAACTGTTTTTTTTAGGTTCAAAACAATTAATTGAACAGATCTTACTCAGAAGAGTGATTCATTTACAAATTAGACATTGCAAGCCACATCATTTGAGGTATCATTCAAGTCTGTATTAGAAATGGAACAAGATGAGTTTTGCATCAAAATGTTATATTTAAGATCAGGGATATACAGTCCATGCATATGAGCAATACTATGATGCTCGTCTTAAAAGCAAGAACAGTATATTAATAGTTCAAGTGCAGCTATAAGGCTTTTTGGTGAGGTGAAACTAAGGTCTTTCTTTGACTGTGGTAGGGCTGTTTGATTTTCTCACAGGTCTTGCACTGAAGAACAAGAATTGAGGGGCTGCAAAACCCTTTATGTGGAGACCAGCAGCTGTGTAAGACGGCAACAGTGTCTTGAATTGAATTTGAGCAAAGACTGGCAGCAAGTGAAAAGACTCTCCAAAGGTTAAAAACAAGTTTAGCAATAGCGCTGAAGATTAACTCATTGGAATATAGGGGATATGCAGGTAGTGATGAGAGATCAGTAGTAGCTTGATGTGAAATGAACTGATGTGAACCTTATTGGCAATTGTTGTTGTTTTTTCTTTTTTCTTTTGGAAATTGTAAAGTGCGTCTTTCAAAGAGATTTTAAAGTGTAAGGCTTGCCACTCGTGTAAATGGAGAAAAAACATGCCATATGTGTGGCATATGAACAGATGTAAAGGCTCTGCCTACAAATATCGATGATCTCCAAGATCTGAGGCAAAAGTTGTTGGAATACTTTCAAAAAACAGAGCCAAGGCTTAAATCCATTATAAACTCAGTCCAGGCACATTTAACAAAACTTTTCTTTCCCCCGTCAGCTCAAAAACACGTTTGCTCAGCCATGAAATTAAGTTTAACAGCAAGGGTGACATTTTGCCTTTAATATCAAAAACATATCATAATATATAGCAAAAGAAACAATCTTGGTCACAGAGGTAGCAGATTACCGTCATCCATCTGAATTCAATATTTGTGCAATACTTATGTGTTTAGATACAAGGATATATGAAACCTTCTCTGTAGACTATTATTATAATTATTTCTGTTCTATTCTCTTTTTATTTTTTTTGTCAAGTTTGATTCTCCATCGTAATCATGGCACATGAAGCCAATAGTACTGGGGATGACATTTTGCTACTTGTTTAATTTTAAATTAATTACCAGGCTTCCTGCAAGCTGTTATTTTCTGATAAGAATGACTTTGCAACCTTTTGTGACTTTGCAACCTTGATTTGTAAGGGACTGTGGTGTGTATGTGAAGAGGTGTGGTGTGTAAAATGTCACTTTTGTATATAAAATAAGCAACAAATGTGTCTAGCTATATATACTGTATATATATATATATATATATATAGCAGTGCGTTGTATTTGATGTGCAGGTGTTGTTAATCTAAAATGCTTTCAGTGACTCATTGATGTTCGTCTTGGCTGGTTAACCATTACACCTTGCCTTAATAAGAAGTAAAAGGTAAAGTTTTGTGCATCAGGTTGTTCACTTTTCATTGAAACCACAGACATTCTGCAACTTGCAGCAACCGGAAATTTGTTGTTTTCGTTTGGAGTTGCCATTTCCAAGAACATTTTTGCAAAGTAAATTCTGAGTAGATAAATCAGTACATTGTCTGAGCCCCACTTTCAGTAGTTCGATATTTCACATCTGTCATGACAATTATAATTAACATCTAGATTAATCTAGAAAGGACTTTTAAAACATTACTACATTTTGCACCATGACAACATCTGCATCAACAACAATCAACAGCAAAAACGTCAAGCCAAGTTTAACCGCATCATAATGCGTGTTCAAATTTGGAACCTAAAGGTCAATGGTTTACCACTCTTTCACATGCGCAGAAAGTCCTGATCTGTCATGCAAACTGAAAACAGCTGTATGCTTGAATATTATGAGATTATTACAACTAGTGAAAATGCAATTACAAATATCAAGAATGACATTTTTTCACTAAATGTAATTCTTGATATCAATAATTTGATTTATGCGAGTGAAGATGACATTGTTGATATCAAGAATTCACATTTGTATTAGTGAAAATTCCATTCCTGATATTAAGAATTCACATTTTAAGTGAACATTGAATTGTTGATATAGACAAATCATATACTGGGAATGATTATTAGTCAAAACAGCTTGGTTAGACTAGAGCTTTAATGATGCTTATGAAACGCTTTTCACTAAATGTAATTCTTGATATCAATAATTTGATTTATGCGAGTGAAGATGACATTGTTGATATCAAGAATTCACATTTTAAGTGAACATTGAATTGTTGATATCAACAAATCATATCCTGGGAATGATTATTAGTCAAAACAGCTTGGTTAGACTAGAGCTTTAATAATGCTTATGAAACTAGGTAACACTTTATTGTAGTGTCCTTGAAACACAAGTTACATGTACTTACAATAATAGTAATCGTAAATTTTGCATAATTACATGCAATAACCCCACATGTACATACACGGTACTATATACTTGTTATAATTACAATAACTGGGTAATAACTAGGTAGTAACCCTGAACCTACACCTAAACCTACCCTTAACCCATTTAGTTACCTTATATTATCCAGGACTTTCTTAGGTAAGTACATATACATATATAAAGTGTAACTCTTAACCCTAACTGGTAAACACGAACTAGGTAGTAACCCTGAACCTACACCTAAACCTACCCTTAACCCATTTAGTTACCTTATATTATCCAGGACTTTCTTAGGTAAGTACATTGTAAGTACATATACATATATAAATTGTAACTCTTAACCCTAACTGGTAAACACATTGTTAGTATTACTCAGTAGTTAAACTTACTGCTGCATAATTACACTGTAACAAGGACACTGCAAAATAAAGTGTATACATTTTACTATGATTTTACTCAAGCAACACTAAATGCAACCACTAGGATATTTTGTAATATTGTAAATTCCTGTACTACACAGTCTGTTAAGGAGCCATCCATAGTTGCATTTGTGGTGGTTGCCAAGGTCTGACTACTAAGTTAAAGTGTGGTAAATTATGCAATAACTGGTAAATTTCCCACCTATTTACATCAGGGTTGTGCACCATTTTCAACTGAATTATAATTCAAATCAACTCAAATTCAATTGAGTTTGATCTTTGAGAGGGCAAACATGATCTAGAATCACAACTACATGCAGAATTGAGAATTAATGATTTTTTATAAACTATGGAAATTTCTGATGCAGATATTTATTAGTGCATTTATTTCTTTGTGCACACAGATTATGATGAACGCAACATACAACACAAGCAACCCATCATGTGTGATCATGACCCAGGCAGCAGGTCACCTGCTGATATCTATCTACATCATTGCCTTCATCTTGGGGCTGCTGTTCAACCTGATCACCATCGGGCCCATAATTCAGCAGATCTGCAGAAGGAACGTTCTAGGGATCTACCTGCTCAGTTTGTCCTTCTCGGATCTCCTGTACATCCTCACCATGCCTCTGTGGGTCTATTATTTCAACAACAACCACAAATGGAACCTCGGCCAAGGACTCTGTAGTCTGGTTGGTTTCTTTTACTACTCCAACCTGTACATCAGCATCTATCTCCTCTGCTGTATCTCCATCGATCGCTGCCTGGCCATCACCTTCCCGCTGAGAGTCCAAGTCTTCCGCCGGCAGCGCTATGCCTGGATCATCTGTGGGCTGGTCTATGTTTTCGTCATGGCCTTGCACTCTTTGGTGCTGTACCTGGACAAGTTATCGGATCCACTGGATGACGCTGAGCAAACGTGCTACGAGACCTTCCCCATGACGGAACGCATTGCGATGTTCAACCTGATACGGGTCGGAATTGGTTTCCTCTTGCCTCTGGTGATCATCTCCGTCTGCTACTGGTTGATCCCAACCAAGGTGCAGCAAAGCAGAGGGGTGGACGATCGAGGCAAGCGCAAAGTGAAGATTCTGTCTATGGGGGTCATTGGCATTTTCTCCTTTTGCTTTGCGCCATACCATATCCTCCTGATGGTGAGGTCCATCACCTTCTTTTATTTGGGACATGAACAAACCTGCAGTTTTGAACAAGCGATGTATTTGCCCTTCACTTGCTCCCTCGCACTATCCAGCCTGAACAGTGTGGTGGACCCAGTGCTCTATGTTTTGGCCAGTAATGGAGTAAGGGAAGATATGAGGTTGTTCTGTTCGAAAAACAAGCAGACACAGGTGAGACGAAGCCATCTTGTTGAGTCCCAATGTAAGACAAGAGTAACCAACTTGGGTTAAAACCAACCTCAGATCTTTGAAAACAGACTTGCATTTGATAGCGTACACACTGTTTTTGAACCCATTCAGGAATTTCACAAATCAGTGACCAGCACAAACTCGCCCAAATTGTTTGCATTGACAGCATGGGCACAATCTTGTGGATGTGTTCATGTTGTTAAGTTGTGGAGGGTCCGGCAGGCTTTACAATCTGGCGTGCTCCAGCACTGTGATCCAGACACCTGAACTAACTTTTTGACAAATAACTGCCACCGTGACTGCAAACCGCTTGCTTTTCTGCAGGTGGTAATAGGCAAATTGCACCAAGTTTTGGGAGTAAAGCGTATCTACTGTATAATAAGCTTAATTTACATAGAAAACAATGACTTGTACTGACAATACTGATGCTGCAGCACTTTTTATTGCATATAGAGCCTAGTTAAACTGGATTGTGGCTGTTTGAGATGCTGTTTTTGTGCCGAAATACTGTGTATTACAAAAGTTATTGTTTAGTGAATTAGCCACTGTATGACAGTGTCTAGTCAAGCCCAATTCATTTGTCCAAGTCATGACAGAGACCAGAAGAGGGTCAAATCCAAGTCAAGGACAAGTTCACACGCTCCTGAGTTCATGACCAAGACCATGAAAATATGCTTTTAGTCTGAGTCTAAGACCATATTTTTATGGTTTTGCCCTTGTTCCTCAAATCCGAGTCCAAGGCTATGTTTTTATTGTTTTGGTATTGGTATTGGTCTTGGTCATCAGGTACGAGTCCAAGACCATATTTTTGGCATTGGTCTTTGAATCTGAGTCTAAGAATATATTTTCATAATTTTGGTCTTGGTCCTAGAGTCCACAAACATATTTTCATGGCTTTTGCTTTGTTCCTTGAATCCAAGTCCAAGTCCAAGACTATATTTTCATGGTTTTGGTATTGGTCTTGGTCCTCAAAAACAAGCCAAAGACCATATTTAAATTTTTGAATCTGAGTCTAAGAACATATTTGCATCTTGGTCCTTGAGTCCAAGTCCAAGATTATATTTTCATGGTTTTGGTTTGGTCCTTGAGTCCAAGTCCAAGATCATTTATTCATGGTTTTGATCTTTGTCCTCAAGACTGATTTTGTTCTTGCCATGGACTCAGGAGCATGTGGATAGATTAATTCCTCTTCTGGTCTTTCTCCTGGATTAAACTCCACCCTCTCCTGATCTTGATCTTCTGGTCTTGAATCTCAAATTTGGTCTTGCCTACAGCATGGATATGTGCAGGCTTTTGTACTCAGACTCCATTATGTCTACTTGTGTGAACAAAATATGAATTATTACTTTGTTGTTTTATCTGAGCTGTGATATATTTATCTGTGTCTTTACAAACATCGAGAGGATGTTTACAAATTACGGATTTGCAGCGTAACAGGACCAGTATCCCTGTCTTTGAAGGAGCCTTGAATCACTTGAACTTTCTATGTGAGAGCCATACTCAGACCAAGTGTTGTTATTGTGGGATAAAGCATCACTTGTTTGTCTTTGTTTAATTCACAGACGATTCCCTGTAACTTACCGTTAAACTAGATTTAGCCGTTAAAGATTTAATCTGGATGTTAAAAACAACTTGTTGCAATGTAAGCAATTTCAATGCACAGCATGTTGCTACTCTCTACGTTTTCTCTCATGTAACATTACTGCAAAATAAACAGTGCATTACGAAATAAAATAAATGTTCTCATTCTGACAGTTATGCCACATTTAGGGAAGTGATGCTTCCGTTACAGCTCTTTAAACGGAGGTAAAATGATTAGTGTTTTATTCAATAGGTGGGAACATCTACTTTCAGTGTAATCATGCTGGTTTCTGAAGTGAGAGCAACCCATATGACACCAGCAAGTGTTCGAGAGGGCTGATGAGGAGCAACGTTTGCGTAGCATCTCTAACAGGTATCGCCCACAATAAACTTTGTACAGCTTTGTTCACCCACCTTCCGCTAGAATGATTGCCTCTATAGATGAGTGGCTCTCATGTGACTGCAGTCTTCTGTAAGTCTGTGAATGAGAGTGGCCTTCTGCTCTACTGTAAAATGCCACAGACCATCTGAATGGAGTGATTTTGGAGTGTGAGTGAAGCAATGAATTGCAGCTTTGAGTACCTGATCTGCAGTCTGAATGGTTTAAATGACTGCTCACTTTCACCTATCGCACCAGACGCTGTGCCATTCAGGGAAGATGGAAATGGGATGCCATATGGTGTTAGAATTTACTTGTTTGTGCTGTCATCCGTCTATATGGGCCAGAAAATTTCTGCGAGGTTCACTTAAGGAAAGAAAGCCACATTCTTTCATCATAATAACGGTATTGCATCTCAATAGAACTAATGCAAGCTATTCTGCATTACACAATGAAGCTGCCGATGAGGTCTCGCCGCAACAGGAAGTCTGGAGGGATTTAGACGAGAACAGCACAGAACACTGTGTCTGCTTTTCTCTGCTCGAGCAATTGATTTGCACCTTCCTGAATGCAGACAACAGATGGAGGTGAGAGAGCATGTTCATGTAGGAGGCACAACCTGGCATTGCATCAAAATGCAGATAATTGATTTTGTTTAACTAAGTACCTAAGGAGTGAATCTCACGAAAACATGTCCGGGACACGTTTCACACCAAAATCAATGAAGAATAGGACCTTGTATGTATATACTATTGTTAATAGCATTGGGCTAGGTCGGTATTGGGCTCATTCATTTTATTAAATATAGTAATGCTGCACAGTATTTTTTGCAATTGCTGCTGTTTTCAAACAAGTGTTGATTTGAGAAAATCATAATGAATAGACAGTTCAAAAGAACAGTATTTATTTAAAAATTAAATCTGGCTTTACTGTCACTTTATGGTATAATATATTTATGTGACCCTGGACCACAAAACCAGTCTTGAGTCACTTGGGTATATTTGTAGCAATAGCCAAAAATACATTGTATATATATATATTTATATATATATATATATATATTTATATATATGAGAGGTGGAATGATGAAATCACCCTTGTCAAAACAAATCTGAAAGGATTCCAATAAGTAAACTGTACAGAATTTTAATGAGAGTTTCTATCATATTTTGTAACATTCCTGTAAGATTCCTATCTAGGACTTTCTGGGAAGGTGCACAAAGGATTTTGTTCCTATCCTGTTCATTTCCTTTGCAGCAGCTTGTTCTCATATCTCAATTCCTATACGAATCTCATTAGAATGGTTCCAAATTATGATAGAAATTCTAATTTGATTCTTATTGGAATCTTTTAGTATTTTTTGTTAGGGTGGTGGGATGATGATATGAAACGTCATATAAGCTGTCAAAAACAAATAAAAATGAAACATCACTTTAATTGATCAAATTAGCCTTTTATTCATCACTTTGACTGACATTCTGACAGCAACTGACTATTATTCATGTGGCATCACCACGGAGCTTGGAATGACCTTTTGGACTGAAAACCTCACAGGGATGACTGAGACCACACCAAGTGAAATTTATGGATTCAAAATAAGAAAAGAGGTCGTCAGGGTGGTTGCAGTTGGGATCATACACCTCATTATTATTCTCTCAACAGGTCAACCTCTTTGTAATTACAGCGCCTGGTGAGACAAAGGGATTTTGGAATCCATTAGTGACTCTAAATGAGAGACCAGGAGATCATATTTGACTTCACAATAACCCAACTTTTTTTCCACATGTAGGCCCGAGTCTTTAATATGGGATTCACAATATGTTGTTATGCAGCAACAAACAATAGTGGTGCCTTATGAATGTCTTATCAAACCAAAAGTCTCAATTAGCAATAAAAAAAGCAAAAAAAAATATTTATAATGTTTGTTTTACATACACATTAAATATATTTTTTGATTAAACTGATTGTTAAATTTTGCTGAAACACATTTTTGATTTGAATTCACTTATTTATTTTTCTATTTTGCAGACAGTAACATGTTTATAAATTGCATACATACTTTTATGTAAAGGGTTAAAGCTGTTGATATATGTAGCTTCTTGCCCTGCTTTCTGTGGAAACCTTGCAAAATTAGTAACACAAGGTCTCTGAACATAATGTTCCATAAAAAAATATTTCTGGGAATTTTAGAGTCACTTGCTTTTTTCCCCTCTGTTTCTTACTAAAATAATCTCTAGCATAAAACAAGAGTAAAAAAATAATTATATAAACCATCCATAATAGAATCTGATAATTGGAAGTATGTATTAGCAGTATTTGACTGCTTCTTTTGTCCCTGCAAATATTGGTTCAAGGAGCATAAAAGAAAGGGGTTGAAGAAATAGTTCATGCACTCATCCCCATGTCGCTCCAAACCTCTTTGATTTTCTCTCTTCCACAGAGCACAAAAGGAAATGTGAGGCAGAATGAACTGGCCTGCTCTTTTCTTTACAATGAGAGTAAATGGGCTTTCCAAACTCCAAAAATTAGCAAAAAAAAGTGTCTTAGAAGTGGTTCTCAAACTATATATCGTAAACAGCAGCTTTGTGGGAAGAGACCAACATTTATATTATTATTAATAGCTCACTCGCATTTACATCAATTCAAATATTGCCACAGGTTCAATGACCAAGAGTCATTGAGGATCAAACCCATCATGGAAAAGATACCTTCATATAACATAATAGACAAATAGTGTCTACTTACAGTATACATGTAAATGCAGATCAACCTGCTTACAAAAACCACAAGGGCAAACCAACATATCTTACACCAATTCTCTGGCACAGGAGCTTTTTTTATTCCATTCCAGCTCTTCCAGAATAATTTTTCGCTTCTATTTGGTAATAGTTGACCCTGTGACACCTATTTCTGGCAGCTTGAAGACAAATGGACATGAAATGTGAGGCATATACAATCTATCTCAAAGAAACACAGCATGAGCTCTTGGTAAGAGGGAGCAAACTGTTCCCATCAAACAAATCAGTGTCATATGAGTTTCCTGTCTTATGATGAAATATGTCACTGATGCACCACATGTAATGCATAGAGATTTGAAAGCCTTCAGACTATTAAGAGGATTTCATCCGAAAATGACAATTTTCTGTCATAATGTTGTTCCAAACCCGTACGTATTTCTTTTTTTGTATTTTCTTTAAACTGTTTTTCAGCATACAATAAAAGTAAATGGGGTCCAGTGTTATTTTGTGTTTCAAGATGCAACAAAGTCATACAGGTATACAACGGTATGAAGGTGATTAAATGATGACAGAATTTTTGGGTGGACTATCTCTTCGAAGAGAACACATTATTTGGTGGCTAATTTTATTCTAACAAGCAAAATTGCTATTGCTCATGGCAGGCAGTGATTATCATGTATTTATTTTTTATTTTTTGTACAGTATGGCTAAGATAAATTCACTTGGGGCAAGTTCGCTTTGCGTGACAGATCTGTCTTTATTCACAGTGGATTTGAATGTGAATGAAATGAGATACCAAGACAGAGGAGCTTATTTATGAGCAAGACCTCTATTCATCTCTCTTCCTCAGAGCGCTATTGATTAAGATTTTTTTCTTCTTGTCCTTACTTATTTATTGAACATACAGAGTACACAGAATGCTAAGAGCTCCAGATAGTTAAAAAAAAAATGTCCATACGGCAAAGCCACATAATCATCTCTCTGATAATTACTTGATAATAATGCAATTTCATATCACACACCAGGAAATTTAAAGTGGTTCACATCATATAAGCCTACAGCTGTAGAGCTAAAGCTATAATTTTTAGAAAACAAAATGCATACAGATTAGCAGCTGATAGCTGTCCCAGTTTATGCAATTTTGTATTTTCTTCTTGTCCTTACTTATTTATTGAACATACAGAGTACACAGAATGCTAAGAGCTCCAGATAGTTTAAAAAAAAAATGTCCATACGGCAAAGCCACATAATCATCTCTCTGATAATTACTTGATAATAATGCAATTTCATATCACACACCAGGAAATTTAAAGTGGTTCACATCATATAAACCTACAGCTGTAGAGCTAAAGCTATAATTTTTAGAAAACAAAATGCATACAGATTAGCAGCTGATAGCTGTCCCAGTTTATGCAATTTTGTTTTTAAAGCTGTGCAAATACAGCTTGCTTGTATTTCAGTGTCTGGCGCATTTTGCCATTTGTCTCATTCATTGTTGTTTTCTCTTCTGAACGGCCTATGCAAATTTATGCAAATCCCTGCATGGTTTACCTTGGGAAATGTGGGGCAGACACTTGAAGTTTCTGTAAAATAAGTGCATCATAACTAGCTGACTACCCTGATTGCATTTCACATTAAGGCATAGCGGCAATAGACAAAATTAAAATGGCAATGAAGCCAATGGAATATTTTACACATGTATGAGGGGTAATAATATTTAAAGGCGTTCCATCTTGTCTTTTTGATGCCATTTCTAATACATTTTATCTTGTTGTTGTTACCACTGTTGTTATGGCGGCTGCCATAAGGATTTGTACTTTGTGTGAAGTTTCTGTAAAATAAGTGCATCATAACTAGCTGACTACCCTGATTGCATTTCACATTAAGGCATAGCGGCAATAGACAAAATTTAAATGGCAATGAAGCCAATGGAAAATTTTACACATGTATGAGGGGTAATAATATTTAAAGGCGTTCCATCTTGTCTTTTTGATGCCATTTCTAATACATTTTATCTTGTTGTTGTTACCACTGTTGTTATGGCGGCTGCCATAAGGATTTGTACTTTGTGCCATTCCCCAGAGGAATAAAGTGAAAGGAAGAAGGCTACAGCAGTGTGCTGCCAAATGGGAACAATCTAAATGAATATTACTTGAGTGGCAACTTAAAAATGGTTGCTATGGTTTCTCTGAAGCACCCCTGCAATGCTCACTTACACTTCAGCTTTCGAAACATGTTGTCAGTACTGGGCTTGGAGTAGGATTTATAGTAAAAAATATTTTTTTTTGGCTCACAATGAATGCACAAAAGATTGAATTTATGAATTAAAGAATGATTTACTTTTTGGCTGGATCCACAGTTCTTTTGTGCTTTTGTGCAGTATTTAGGATGCTAGATTCAAATGCATTAGTGCTGTTATGGCGGCTGCCATAAGGATTTGTACTTTGTGCCATTCCCCAGAGGAATAAAGTGAAAGGAAGAAGGCTACAGCAGTGTGCTGCCAAATGGGAACAATCTAAATGAATATTACTTGAGTGGCAACTTAAAAATGGTTGCTATGGTTTCTCTGAAGCACCCCTGCAATGCTCACTTACACTTCAGCTTTCGAAACATGTTGTCAGTACTGGGCTTGGAGTAGGATTTATAGTAAAAAAGATTTTTTTTGGCTCACAATGAATGCACAAAAGATTGAATTTATTCAGACAAACACTTCCTGTTTACTTTACATTTTGTAAGTTAGTGGTTCATACAGCTTGTACGTTCACAATGGAGCGGTTCATAGAGTTTTATTTTAGTCCAAGTTCAAACACAGTGAGCTTTGCTTATAATTTAAGGCATGGTTTTGGGACATTCTAAAATGCTTAATGTGGCTTAATGTACTAAAACAGTGACATTGGAGTCCCAATTCGGTATTAATAAATACCATTAATACTAATAACAATTTTAACAGGCTATTAATAACCTTAATAGCATTACTATCAATAAAGCAGATATCCATTAATGCAACGTGCTAATGCACGTTAAGCTTTTTCTCCCCCAGAGAAAACCGTTAGGCTATAGAAAATGCTTAAGGGAGGCTAATGGACGAAGACCAAAAATCTTGTACACAGTTTATTAGTAAAATATAGCCTATTATTCACA